GTATCACCTTATGATCATGGAAATGCTTCAAACGAATAAACATGGAAATGTTGTATTTATGAAATTAGTAAACTAGTAGTACTAGTAAACACTAAAACATAATTAGCATACAGTACAACGACTCTCGAAGATGAATTTATTACATTTTTTTTACGGAATTACAAAACGCGAGTAACGAATACAAAGTAAAAAGTGCTTAGACTAACGAACACGTGTGTAATACCCAATGGCCACAGCCCAAAGCGTTTATCACCTCAACGGAAATGCAGATTAGGTAGGTTGCTATTGTGCCAAATTTGTTCGATCTTCAGTCAATTCTCTTTGCGTTGGAGCCTGAGCGCGAATGCCTGCAGCGAGAGGAGCACCTTCCTGAGCCGGTCCTTGGCTTGGGCGTCGATGAGGTTCCCCTTGTCGTCGAACTTGGGCGGGTCCTCGTACGCCCTGATGTGGAGCTCCGGCTTGTTGATGAAGTGCAGGTCCAGGTATATCCCGATCTCGCGCAAGTGGAGCGACGCCCTGCCCCCGCCGAAGTCGCCCCCCGCGCAGATGATCGCCGCTGCCTTGTCAGCCCAGCATTTGTGTGTGCCCCTCGATGCCCAGTCCAGCGCGTTCTTGAGCGAGCCGGTGACGGAGTAGTTGTACTCGGGCGAGGCGAAGAGGAAGCAGTCCGCGGCGCTGACCCTGTCGCGGAACGCCTCCACGGCCGGCGGGAAACCGTCGCCACCGTCGGTCTCGAGGTCCGGGTTGGCCATGGGCAGGCCGGAGATGTCGACGTGGTCGATGCGCAGCCCTGGAATGCACTCCTCGCACAGCTCCTCGGCTGCACCACACATGCAAGGCACAGTCAGCACTGCACATAATCCCCACACATCAGGTACGAGCACATGGCTACTATGAACATTTTGTATGGCAAGTTTAGTTATGCAAGGATGGTAATTTTACTTCGCAAACATGGCATTTTCATATTTCAGTTTGTTTTTTGACAGAAACTTGCCGTGTGTTACTACAATTCATCGAAAAATGTAATGGCCGGAGTGCCACGTACATGATGTGTGACACTTACCGTCTAGAAAATTAAATAGGGAAAAGTCTAAAATAAACCTTGAATTCATGCTCTTAGTTTGAATTGAACCCTAACCTTCAAATCCCTGGAACCGACACTCTGTACTCTCTAATCCCGGTCTATCCTGGCGGATTTCTGCTAAATGTTCCTTTGGTGCACTGGAAAAAGGGCAATCCTGATCTAGTAAAACATACTAGTCTCAACAAATATAGGGGCACACTGGAAAATGCATTGTGCCGCTACTTGTAGCACGTACCCAAAAAAAAAAGTTCCCCATGTATCACCCTTTTTTATACCAAATTCATTTTTTTATATATTATGGTGGAAGTATCAGCTTGACATGGCTAAACTGAGCATTTGTTTGCAAGGACTGAACTAGCCTAACCTTTCTATTTACTACAAAAAGTAACTTCAGTTGTATCATATATATGAGGTTCACTTACCTGAATACAAGAAATACAAGGAAACAGCTAATAATGACAGAAACAACCGAACCAATCAGGATCTGATATATGCTCTGTGCTAGCACGTTAGCTTCATATTTGAGTGAGATAGAAAGAAGGAAAATGGAGAAGATGAATCTGACATGTGTTTCCGCAAAAAAAAAAAAGAAAAAAAGAATCTGACATGTGGACTAGTGTAGTCCGTGAGATTGTGTAATCCCTACCGGAGACATCCTTTCTCCCGGTGCACCAAACAAGTATTTTGTAGAAATCAACCGGGATAGACCGGGATCAACGAGTATAGGGTGACAATTTCAGGATTTCAAGGCTAGGGTTCAATTCAGACTTAAGAGTACGAACTCAAGATTTATTTCAGACTTTTCTCAATTGAATATGTTCAAACATACCGGCGCGGATGAGGCCGTGATGCCACGAGTTGTTGCGGAGGGAGCCGCTGAGAGCGGCCACGCGGAGTGTGGGCTTCGCCGAGGCCGCAACGGCTTCCATTTTCCCCTTGTTTCGAGCTTGATTTCTGTGATGACCTGAGAGTGAGTGGCTGCTTGGGTCACTGGTGTGGAGCTCGATCAGGTGAGTGCGGTCCATTGGCGGAGGAGACGGCTGCCTTAAATAGATGACCAAAAATCAATCTCAGCCAGGTCATCGTGAACGTCGGATTCGTTGACGTGAAGCTCGATCAGGTCTGAATTCGTGACATGTACCGGTCAGTAGTGGAAAAGCATAGATCGTCATCGATGGCATCATATTTCTTATAGTTGCCTAATCTAGGAACAATATTATTGAATACTACTCATGGATGCACGTGGGCATATGGCCAACGACCACTCCACTTTGAGGGAGACAGCCAGCAGCCGGCACCTTTGTATTCAGACCTCATCGATGGCGTCACTCGCCTCGCCGTTTCGCGGGTACGGGCAACTCCAACGCATGACCTCATTCGATTTATGTTTGTCTGTTTGGGCTTAAATGGACAGGTGGCATGACTCAACGTGCGATCGCATTCGTATTCTTTGATCGTCTTGTGTTTGGCCCGTCCAATTTTCACTCGGTTTGTGTTCACACGGACGTCGAATGGATAGACACGTGTTTCCTCCTTGTCTATCTCAGGGACCCGTGATGGTCGTTCACCTACCTTCGCCGCCCAAAATAACCTAGCACGTGCGGCGGGGCTCAGCTGTCAGCCACACAGCTGTTAGGCCGTCGTCCTTAATGTGGAAGCCGTGGACCGACCAGTGTACAACTTTCACTTTCGAGCCACGCGGCCTCCTTCACCCCCGACACGAGGGAACAAACCCTAGCGGCCGCCGACGCATCTCTCTCATCCACCTCCTTGCCAGCGTCATGGGCTGGCATTGGATCAACAAGGGGAAGCACAACAATGAGGCCGGCTCCTCCTCCGGTCGCAGCCGCTCCACCAGGTCCGCGCCGCCCACAATACCTGCTTCACCCTCGTTTGCCATCGCGCTGCCGGCGGCCCCGTGGCGCAATAGGTCGCATGTCTCCACCAACATCTGTCGGTGCTACTGGGAGATGGTGCCACCACTCCTGTGGGGGGATGCCCACCTCCCCAACAATTGGCATCTCTATGCGGATCGCGTGCCTGTCCCACCAATACCGGTGAGCGGTCGCGCCCGCCGCGAGGATGTCGACCGACTTTGTGCCCGCCTACCACCAGATCTGCTCTACGACCACAGGTATGTCATTGATTCGCCAATGTGGGATACGTGGCTCCGCGACGAGCACGACCTGTGGCGGCAATCCTTTTTTGTTGCTTGTCCTTCGAGCCCTCGCGCCCGCGTCCTGCTTGTGCTGAGAGCCGGCCCCAAACATGCGGGCGTAGGCGTGTGCACGGCCTCACGCCGACGCCATCTCCGTTCATGTCCCCGCCGCCGCCACCTCCCATGATCGAGGAGGAGGCCGAGCTCGTGAGGCGGGTCATGGAAGACTCCATGAACACCCGCGACGAGCGCCAATGGGAGGGCTTTAAAACCCAATTGGCCCTCTCTGCAGCCAGCGACGTCACCATCCCGGAGCTGGCATGGCCGTCAAGGAGGAGGTGGTGGAGGAGCCGCCATTGCCGCACGAAACCCGCGCCTGGTGGGCCAGCGGTGGAGCTGGTCGTCCACAGCGCCGGAGATGGCCGACGTGGTGGGTGTCGGGCCATGGTCATCCACGCCGTCGCGGTGAACAGAGCAGGAGCCGGAGCCACGGGAGGAAGTGGTGCAGGCGCCTTTGGTCTGGCAGGGGCCGCCATCCCACCTTTGGCAGCCACCTCCATACGTTGACCACACCAGCGACGACGACGAGTAGGACAACGACAACTGAAGATGACGACGGCCTCACCGGCGACGGGCCTTATCTAGTTTAATTTATGTCTCTTAAGTTTTAGTTTAATTAAGAACTGTGTTGAACTTGGCTACTATGGACGTGTGGACTTTTTAATGTTTATATTAATATTTTTATATTATTTGCAACATCTATTTGGGTTTTTTGAGGCAAAATTCAAGCCCAAATATACAGACAGTTTGGGATGCGGCGGGTCGGTTGGGCACACCGACCGCCGCATGATCACAAAAGCGGACCTATCTGTTTTTCTACCCTGAAATTCAGATAAAACGGACATGTGTTTGGGGACATGTGTTTGGGGTCCTACTTCCAAATGGGATAAGAGAATTTTTATTAGTCTCTTTCTTTCTCTCGATTGCGTTGGAGTTGCCCTAAGACCGGTCTTGTGCAGATCAAGGTCTTCTCGTTTGTGTGTGTGAAATAGACCCAGTCATTCTTCTTTGGACGAGACTAAGAAAAACAGTGCCTGACGCCGACAACGAGGCGAAAGGGGCCGGCTCGGTGGCTGCGTTCCCACTGTTTTCCTTCGATGTGATCCTACAGGGTTTCTCTTTTCAGTTTTGGTTTACTTCGCTTTTCTGTTTTATAGTGTCTCTTTTTTATATTTAAATTTTTTAATCGAATTTTTATTCTGGGTTTAGTTAGTTTTTTTATTTTTCTGATTTCTGTATGGTTTGGTATATCTCCTGGTTTCTGTTCCTATTTTCTCCTTTTGCACTATTTAATTTTTTATTTTCTTTATACAATATTTTTTTAAACAGATGGTAAACAGTTTTTAATATATTTTAAAAAGTATATGATGAATGTCTTTAATACACGGCGAAAATACCCACTGAAAAAATTAAACACAAACAAAACATTTTTCTAAACACGAGGTGGCCATTTTAAATATTTTTAATTATTATAATCATATTTTTAAATATTTAACTACGTAAAAAACACTGGAAACCCGGCTAAAAAAATAAAGATAGAAAACCTTTCATTGGACAATACATTGCCAGAGACGGCCGCCTACTACGCTCCAACTTGTGTGAAGTCTCGGCTATCGTCAAATACAAGGAATTATGAAAAGAAATCCATAAACCATTTTTTTACAGTCCGGTGTCGATCATGGGATTTTTTAGTGACTATACATGACTAAGGCGCAACTTGTTCCAAAACTGATGTAGGTCCAGAACGGCAAAGTACAAACGGCTGCTCTACCTAGCTGGATCCCCCACCCATTGGACCATCGCCCAACTTGCCACTGACAAGGCCAAGAAGGGGAGGGGAGGAGGCCGGAGAGGCTGCGGGAAAAGGAAATTCCTATTTGCTGCTCCTTGCGGCAAGTTAAAATATTGTTCTTCTTTTTTCAAAATGTTAATAAATTTCAAAAAAATCTGGTGTTTCTCCTAAATTTTAAATACTTTACACAAATGTTCTTGTTTTAAAATTTTGTTCCCAAATTTAAATAATGTTCGTGAATTACAAAAATTGTTCAAACATTCAAAATATGTAAAAATGTTCGTGACTTCCAAAAATTGCTCACATATTTGAAAAACTATACAACTTTTCCAACTTTTTCTTGGTGTTTAAAAAATTGTTCAGATGTTCAAAACATGTTTATGTTTTTCCAATTTTATTCATAATTTTCACAGAAAATCGCAAGATTGAAAAAATGTTCGCTTTTTGCAATTTTTGTTCAGGTTTCAAAAAAATGTTGAAAAGGTGAAATTTCCCCCCTTTTTTTCCAAATTTTTTTCACAAATTCAAAAGATGTTCATGATTTTCCAAAAACAATGTGCAAATTTGAAAAAAAAAATCCCTTTTTAAAAAATTTGTTCAGGTTTCAGAAAATGTTGAGAAGGTTAAATTTTCTCCCTTTTTTTGAAATTCTGTTCACTAATTCAAAAACTGTTCGTGGTTTTCCAAAAACAAATGTTTAACTTTGAAAAAATATTCGGGGTTTCAAAAAAATGCTCCTACTTTTCAATTTTTTTGCACAAATTCAAGAAATCTTCGTGATGTTATAAAATGGTAGAAATTTTCAAATTATTTTCCTTTTCCAAATTTTGGTCAGAGTTTCCAAAATTTGTTTACATATGCAGAAAATGTTCATTTTCAATTATCATTCAGATTTCCAAAAAATGTTCATGTTTTCGAAAAACTACCAAGTGTTCAAATTTGTTCAAGAACTCCCCGTTTTGCTAAAACTTTTAAGATTTTTTTTTATTTTCCATAGAATTTTTCGAATAAATTTCAAAATTTTAAATGTTTTGGATTGAATAAATATTCACTTTCCTAAAAAAATTGTGTTTGAAATTCCCCAAAATGTTTAGATTTGTCGTCTCTTTTGTAGTTCTTTTAAACCACGTTGCATTTTCAAACAACAATTTTCTTGTATTCCACTGGTTCTGTACCTATTCTTACTGCCAGGATGTGCGAAGTACAATTCCTGTCGCGCCAAACATTTTTAGGAATTTTATGCCACTAAAGGTTCTCAATAGCTTGCGCCACATATTAATCAAGAAACATCAGCAGCTCATGTGGCTTGGGACACAAAGTCTGGAGTCACATGTCCGGAGTTCGTGTCCTCCATGTATTGCGCGATATTTTTCCTTATTTGTTTTGCGCGTTGCCGTGTTCGCTACCTGGGCCGGCCCGTTAGTTTGGCACTCTGCGCCAAACTCCGACATTCTACTGCAGAACGCTACAGATAGAAAGGTCCCGCGGGAAAAGGAACTCTCTAGGAGGAGGTGCGGAGAGCAGATGTTTATTTCAGCCAAATCATTCAAAGCACAGTGTGAAAGACTTAACCGTTCATTTATTTATTTTTTAAGAGAAAACTTCCGATCTATTCCCATCTATTTATAATATCATCATTTATTTGACATGCAACTATTCTAAAATAACCACTTGCCTCTTAGCACACAAAGTACTTCATGAACTTCTACTGTATTGTCTCCTAGCGCGTTCATAAGACTGCTCACAGTGGGGAATAACATATAGTAGTAACTTGCCGATGTTACTAGTCTATGTTACTACCTTCATAGTGGGTAGTAACATATGAGTGGTATCATGAAAGAGTTTATTTATTAGGCTATAGACTCATGATGCCTTGAAATGTGTGATGTTACAGTAACTATCTAAGTTACCATAAACCCCTCTCTCTTCATTAATTAGCTGTCACATAAGCAATCTTGTATTAAAATGTGTGATGTTACTAGTTAAGTTACTCCCATTGTGGCTAGTCTAAACTT